TGTGTGTATGTGTTGTTAAAGTGAGGAGTGATTCACTTGGTTATATGGTGTGTGTGTGTGTTGTTAAACTGAGGAGTGATTTACTTGGTTATATGGTGTGTGTGTGTGTTGTTAAACTGAGGAGTGATTTACTTGATTATATGGTGTGTGTGTGTGTTGTTAAACTGAGGAGTGATTTACCTGATTATATGGTGTGTGTGTATGTGTTGCTAAACTGAGTAGTGATTTACTTGATTATATGGTGTGTTTTAAACTAAAGAGTGATTCACTTGATTATATGGTGTGTTTTAAACTGAAGTGTGATTATATGGTGTGTGTGTGTTGTTAAACTGAGGAGTGATTTACTTGGTTATATGGTGTGTGTATGTTGTTAAACTGAGGAGTGATTATATGGTGTGTGTGTGTTGTTAAACTGAGGAGTGATTTACTTGGTTATATGGTGTGTGTGTGTTGTTAAACTGAGGAGTGATTTACTTGGTTATATGGTGTGTGTATGTGTTGCTAAACTGAGGAGTAATTTACTTGGTTATATGATGTGTATGTGTTGTTAAACTGAGGAGTGATTTACTTGGTTATATGGTGTGTATGTGTTGTTAAACTGAGGGTGTGATTTACTTGATTATATGGTGTGTATGTGTTGTTAAACTGAGGAGTAATTTAGTTGATTATATGGTGTGTGTGTGTATTAAACTGAGGAATGATTTATTGGATTATATGGTGTGTGTTGTTAGTTAAGTTTTCTTTAAACATTTGTGTGATAGAGATATGAGAGGTTTACATTTAATTTGTTTTTGATGGGTAAGGTGTGAGCTAAATGGATGAAAACTCCTTTTGTAACTTTGCTATTGATTGTGTTTGTTTAACCTGTTGTATTATGTGCAATATTAGCAGTTTAGAACTTTTATAGGTATCCTAGAAATAAATATTAGAATAAGACTTCAGAATCATTATACGTGTGTCTTTGATTTAGTTTACATATTCGTGTGTAATTATTTTAATATAACTATTTGTTATAACTGGATGTTGTAAAAGAAGTTTTTAATAACATTTTCTTAAGTATGTTAAAGGTAAGTAAGTTGTTAACATGGGAATTGTGTTCTTTTTTGTTGAAGACTATGAGATGGCTGAGTTTCAAATGTTCTATTTTTACAAGAGAGTGGATGATAGTATTATTCTATGCAAAATATTGGAATTTACCTAAATCATTTAGATATTACTGACTTTATGGTAAGAAGAAGGACTAAGAAATATAAATAAAACACCAGCACCAACAATGTTTTACCAAGGTTTTAAATATAAATAAAGCGCCAGCACCAACAATGTTTTACCAAGGTTTTAAAGGAAATCAACAATCAGATATGCAAGCCCCCTTTTTTAGTTTTTAGTAGGTCAACAAACAATGAACAGGTGCTTGAAGTGGGAAACATTCTCGATAGTTTGATGAAAGAAACTTTACAAAATCATCTAGTGAAATATTATCAGAAACAAAATCGTCATGGATTCAATAAAGGGAAATCTTCCACTACTAATTTGTTAACATTTTTCCAGGATGTTGCATATTATCTGGATATTAAAAAGGTTGAGAGTTGGTGTACTTAGATTTCCAAACCTTTTGATAAGGTGTCATACAAAAGATTAGCATAGAAAATCACACTGAAGAGGGTTGGGAAAAGACTAGTAAAATGGATTGTAGGATGTTGTTGATGTAGTCTAATCCAAATGGACCCTTGCTACTAGTAGAGTACCTTACGAGCTGGGATATTGCTCTTCATTATTACGTTAATAATGTTGATATGGGCATAATTAATGATGGAATTAAATTCATGAATAATTCTAGCTCTATTGAGAATGTTGAAATACTAAAGAATGACTTGGTTCAATGCAAGGTAATTTGGGTTTGATTTCATAATTTAGATTACACATTTAATATAGATGGGAACCCACTCAATAGCATGACCAAAGAAAAGTATGTTACCACAGTGGTAGATAAGTCACTCAAGCCATTGTTTCTGTACTCTGCTACTGGTAGGAAATCTAATCTACGGTGTTGATTACACGTCAAAAGAGGTAATTATTCTCTGTACAAAACATTAGTTAGGCCTTGCTTGGAATACTGTTTGTAGTTTTGGTCTCCTTACCTAAGAACGGATATTGACTTTATTGAAAAGGTTTTGAAGCTTGTTTTCTATAATGTGTATGGCTGGCTCAATAACCACACACCAAGTAGTCCCAGGAACTGTTTATTATCACATAAATACAAGTTACACAAGACATTTCATAAACACTATACAAGTGGCATTCACATGCTGAGTGGCAAATCTGGCACCAGTAAATGAAAACTAATATAGTGATAGTAATGAAAAAAATACTAACTCAAGAACTTCCCTCTTTTCCTAGCTTGGCAGTAAAGCATACATTAATGCCACATTTTTACAATAACTAACATAATGCTATTTCACAAGCCAACCAGTGTTACACATCTTGTATGAAGCATGTGACTGTTGAGTTACATCATACACTGTAGTTTAAACTTACACAAGATGATTGAATAAATTTTAAGTAGGAAACTTGTAAGTTATTATTAATAAAAGGCTTGTGCATGTATGTAATAATTATGTACCAAGAGATACATGAATCTGAAGGAAGAAATGATGCTAACTTAATTCCTGACAGGGTTCAAAGAAGGGCTACTAGGATATTTCTGAGGATGGAAGGATTATCTTCTGGGGATAGATTAAGATCTCTTATTTTCTCTTGGTGAAAGAGAAGTAAGAGGTTATTTTATTTAAGTTTACAAGATTATCTGGTGGATCAGTAGGATGAAGTCCTCTAATTTCTTTGTGCTATATTCTGAAGACAATAAAATGAGAGGGCATACATTTAAGGTTTGTAAAAGACAGGCTAGGCTCTAGTTAAGAAGTTTTATTTTTCTAAGAGGGACTGACTTAAGGAATGAGTTGCCCACACTACAAGAGTTTGAAAGAGAGGAATCCATAATTTTCTGAAAGTTAAAGAGTGGGCTTATATTTTTTAATTTTTCTCAGTTGTGAGTGTGCAGGGACTTGTCAAAGGACCAAATGATTCCTTGTTATGCTGATGTTAATGTCTCTTCTATCTTATTCAAGTGATTAAAAAAAAGTTTAAATCTCTCTTAATACTTCCATATTTGTGAATACATTTTAAGAATGCTATGTTATGTTTCTATTTTTATTTTCTCTATGTGAGAAATTAAGACTTATTCTATCAGCAATCTGTTCAACCTATTGTGTATTAAGCCATGTCTGTTCCTATCAATTTGGTAAGCAAATGAAGAGCTTTCATTTTTTGCATAAAGATATGTTTTAGTATGTTAATAATAAAGCATTATGAATATGGGTACATTTACATTAATAAAAAGCTAAAGGAATAATTGAGTGCATTCAAACTTATCAGATACATTTCTGTAGCAGGTTAATGAATTAATGTATATTTTTTAATGTGTATTGTTTTTTTCAGCTGGTTCCTCTTGTCAAGTTAACTTATGCTCTACCCAGTTTGAACATGAAAGTCAGTCCCAACCACAATTGACCAGAACTGATTCTAATTATCACTACTGTACAGTGTTGGCTAGTTATGCTAACTGCATTAGAGCTACAGGACGTAGTTGCCGTGGCAATTTAAAATTCCATTCAATCTCAACTTTAGTGATGCAGTGGTTCAATAATAAAAACTGCTCTCAGATCATTGCTAAAGGTGTAGAGTATCCAAGGAAACAAGTCCCGAAACCCAAGCAAATGGTGCCAGGATGCATGTTTCGAGGCAGTCATTCTGGTCCAGTGACATTTAGTCACTGTGGACTATTTGGAGATCCGCATCTAAGAACTTTTTACGATGAGTTTCAAACTTGCAGGACTTTAGGTGCCTGGCCACTAATTGATAATCCATATCTTGCTGTTCAGATCACTAATGAACCTGTTTTAAGTGGATCCAAAGCCTCAGGAACCACAAAAGTAAGTTTTTGTCCCTTTATTTCAAGTTTTATACTTGTATGTTTAAAAAGTGAGACAAACCAGTTTCGGAAGCTGATTCATTTGCTGTGAGCAACAATCCAGGTGGTGATGCACCTTTCATTTGAAATGAATCTTAGTATTCTAAAGCAAAACATTCTGAAAATAACATAGTAATTAATTAAACTTTTAATAATGTTTATAGTTTGCTAAAAAATTTAAACCTAATAAATTTAAAACCTTTTCTATGCTGTGGTTTATAAGACTTTTTTGGGTTAATTTGTTTGTTTCTTTTGGATATATATATATAAAAAACTTATCCCTCTGAAATGTTAACATAAAAAACTTATCCCCCTGAAATGTTAACATAAAAAACATATCCCCCTGAAATGTTAACATAAAAAACATATCCCCCTGAAATGTTAACATAAAAACTTATCCCTCTGAAATGTTAACATAAAAAACTTATTCCTCTGAAATGTTAACATAAAAAACTTATCCCCCTGAAATGTTAATTTTACAAATTATACTATTTTTAGAATAAATATTTGTATTGAAATATTTATTTCCCCTTTTTTGTGCAATTAATATTTTCTAAAAAACAATACATCCCAGACTATTGGTTATTTATTCTCGATAATATTCTACAGAGAAATGTACACAGTTGGTGATTTTACACCTTTTAATCACTTTTCATTAACTTCTTGCTTCTGGTTAACTGAGATAGGTTGGGTTTTCATAATTACTGAAGTGAATTAAATGACCTACATAAGGTATTAAGTGCAATAAGTTTTGATGTACCGATTTTTTAATTCCATTATAAAAATTACACGGTTGAGTAGATGTGTTTGTTTGTTTTTTTAAACCATCAAAGTTTTATTAACTGTAATACAATATATAATTACTATGAATTTTTATTTACAATGAATAACAGTTCTGTTTTTAATAGCGATATTTTGTGTATATCTTTGGATCATGCATGTTTAAGAAGTTGTTATTAATATATCTAGGTTGAGAGCATCTATTTTGTATGATATCACAACTACATAAGACTTTTATGCTGTAAGAATTATGTCTAATTAAGTTATAATCCTAGCCACATGGCTACTATATTTCTAAAATGTGATATGAATTAAAATAAATTTATGAGTTCCTTAATAAAACAAGTAAGAGAATCAAATTTCAGACGTGTTTTATGAATACTGTTATGTGGATCAGCAATAGAAACAACAACAAAAAAGACAGTCGCTGATTTGGGAACCCCAAAATAAATATACAAAATCTTCATTTGAACGTCACGTTTTAACTCAGACTTGCAATAAATTCACGCTATCATTCAGAGTGGTGTAAGTCTCTACAAATGATCTGTTTATATGTGCAAGTTTCTGTAAGTTTGAGACCTACGCCCACGCGTGACTTGTTTAACAAACTTCCTCCACCGTCTCCAGTACCTGCACCAAGTTGCACTTCCTGTGTGTTCTTGAGATCAACCTTCTTCCTTACGACTGAAATATAACGTCTTTGCCAGATGTGCCACTTTTCGAGGTCGGTCGACTCTGTTTGCGGGACTAACAATTAGCCAGCCAAGCATCAAAACTGGCTGACTGATAATCACTTGATTTCGATGCACATAGTGACGAAGCCTTGTCAGTGTTATGTTTTATAATAGAACTTGAATTATGTATACTGGTAGTTCTGAAGTTATATTTTTAATGAATGACCCACTTTAATAACTTTTGAAATTAAGATTAAATGTGGGACAAACCACATAACATAAAACTGAAACAAGCTAACAGTTTGGAGGCTTGAGGCTCATTTCAGACGTGTAATCATAAGGCCTTCCTTACTACTAAACTGCGTATCATCCTTACCTTTACTCACAATGTTAAGTTACAAGCATTGCTTGGTACGTTTCCCGGGTTGTTCTTTTGTTGTAATGGATTTTCATTTGTGTTGCAAGAACAACGAAGTTTGTAAACAACCAATTAACGCTTTACCATCACACGCTTGCCCTTTCAGCCGTGGGAGCATTATAATGTGACGGTCAATCCCACTATTCGTTGGTGAAAAGAGTAGCCCAAGAGTTGGCGGTGGGTGGTGATGAGTAGCTGCCTTCCCTCTAAGTCTTACACTGCTAAGTTCAAAACAAACACAACCAACCTATAATTGTGAACGTTGTCTAAATTATGTAGTTAAACTGTTTATTTTAAAGTAGAATGCAGTCATATCTGTGGTAAGATGAAGCAACTGCTTTTTTTTTCCGTGATAGTAAACTGCAAAATGTGAGGTGATACCTTTATATTAAAATACTGTGTACACTCACTAATACGTTCTTGTTACTGAAAAAAGCTCATTATAGTAAAATACCTGGTGATTTTTTTCAACGACTGTTCACGATCACCTAAGAAAAAATTAGCTTCGATAAGTACAGTTCTAGATTCATCCTTTCCAATTTGATCAAAACCATTTACGTTAAAACATTTCAACGCAGTATCTCAGATAGTAAGTGTTCTTGTTTACCACGTACAGCGTCAGAATAAACGTAGTAAATTAGCACAAAATTAATATTGACTAGTCATATCTCGCTGTATTCCTTATATTCAGATATTTGATACGAGGTATCTGCCCCCCTAGTGATGGTTCATCTATAAGTTAATTGGCGTATAACACTAAAAGTAGTGTTTCGATACCCGCGGTGGCCATAGCCCATTGTAAAGCTTAGAGCTTTACAACAAACAAACCTTCAGTGGCTAAAGTTACTTTATTTTCTTACCAATATGGATGTGGGGTTCACCCCCTATAACTTATGGACGGAACAAAAACATTAATAGCAATTTCTACAATTGATCGTAATACAAAATCAAATGAGTGCATTTAAGTTATATTTGAAACTACTCATGCACAAATACATTAAATTCATGGCAAAATGTTTGCCGGTACGCCACTTCTGATAGCAGTGGCTTACTTTCATCACTGTTTTTCCCTTTATTTTTTGGCATACAGTGTCTCTGCGTGGGATTCAATTGGCTATATTTGTTGTAAAACCTTTGACATGATATAAAAATCAAGTTAACTGCAAATGTGTGTTTTTTGTTGGTTTTTTTTCGCATACCCCATAATTTGTTCATTTCGGCACAAAGTCAGATTTGTCTTTAGTTTCCCACAAGACAAAATATTCTATGAAATGCTATTCATATACCCAGCACCATTCTTTAAAAGTAACGGTTTAATCACCAAAAGCCTACGAACAATATATTAGAACCCAATAGGCCTAAAATTATTATAAAACAATAGGCCTAAAATTATTATTAAACAATAGGCCTAAAATTATTATAAAACAAATTAACTGCAGATGTATTTTTGCCTCCTTTCATTTTGAGCTGCAATGGACATATTATGAGGAATGTGATGAAAAAAAGAAAACATCTCCAGTTAACTTGATTCTATGACAGTTTTAATGCCTGTTAGTCACCAATGGTTCGCCGATTTCCAGCGTTTAGATCATAACTTCTAATATACTGTTTCTTCCATTGTTAACACTGTTTTTCTTATAATTGATTGAAACCACTATATGACTTATCATGTGATATTTTTACAAATTTGTAACATAACCACTAGTTAACTATTTTCTTACCTTTAGAAACAAGTACACAGCTAAGGGAAGGATGCAGCTTGCAACTTTGTTGTAAGCTATATATTTTTGTTTATAATCTATTAGCTAGAAGGAGCTACGGGTCGTAATGAAGAACTTAATATCAAAAAGTTTAATAAGATAGGCGTAGAGCACCTTATAAGTTCTAAAAATCTGACCTAAAGTTGTCTAGTAAATTCGAGGGTAGATTATAAATAAGAGATTCAGGTTTCAGCCGTGAATTGGCGCAAATAAGTTTATTCTTTACGTTAGTGTAATGAAATTAACGTCATTTGTAAACTTGGCTTATAAGTTCCACACTGTTCAAGTTTGTAAGAAAAAAATAAATAATAAAATAATAAACTAATTTGTTATTGTTTACCTTGAATTATATTCACCAGATAATTTAAAAGAACCTACCAACGAAAGAACGACGTTACAATATCGTAAGTACAGATAAGAACTAGATGTAGCTTACAACTTATAGTATTGTGAATACAGTTAAGAATATGTATGATTGATACAGTTTAGGTTTCACGAGAGTCTTCCTTTTGCTAGTCTGAAGTCAGGCTTAAATTATCAGAATTCTCCTCAAATTGTAAAGTTTTATGTTGTGAAAAGCGAGTTATATTTCCTTATAAAATATGAGAGAATAATACACAACTCAAAACCATTAAACGGTCATAGATATTTATGGTAGTGTGGTTATGACAAAATCATTGTTATAAAGTACCATCAATCACCCCCTCGATTCATTGTTGTGGTGTGGTTATGACAAAATCATTGTTATAAAGTACCATCAATCACCCCCTCGATTCATTGTTGTGGTGTGGTTATGACAAAATCATTGTTATAAAGTACCATCAATCACCCCTCGATTCATTGTTGTGCAAATCAGATATATTATAATCGTTCATATGATCTGAAATGCAAATTATTGGTCATTCAACCTACGTTCGTAACTAACCTTTTGGTAGGTGTGGTTTTACATTTTGGCAGTTCAAGTCATTTAACTTCAAGGTGGAGTATGATCAGATCATGATGAACAAGAGAAGCCTGACACTGGTGTTGCTTGCTTAAAATGAGATTGTTCTTAAGGTCCTGAGTTATCCTTGACCACTCTTTTAAAAGAGCTGTTTTATTTTCAGGGCATCTTTAGTGTCCGAAGTCGCTTGAC